CCAGCGCTTCGTCACCTCCACGGCCAAGGACGCGGACGCGCCGCAGGTGCCCCTCCCCTCCATCCATCACGGCGATCTCGGCGCAGGTCTGCAGGACGCGGCACTCAGCCTCGGCGGTGTCAACGCAGGTCCTCCTCAACCGCCTGCGAGCGCTCTCCAAGCAGAGCCCCGACGGGTCGCACACGCTGCTTGCGCAGCTGCAGGAGCAGCTCTCGCTGCTGCACCCGCGCGCGCTCTGCCGCGCAGACAAGGCGCTCGCGCGCCCCGCCGCGCCATCGCTTCGCACCACCCGCCCCTCTCCCCCCTCGCACCATCCCCTCGCTCCTCGCCCCGCTGTGCGTGGCATGCGCGTCGGCACGGCTGCATCCGCGCGTCGCCGCAGGCCTTCCGCGTCAACTTTGTCGGCGAGGCGGCGGACGACCACGGCGGGCCGTACCGCGAGGCGATCACGCAGATCTGCGGCGAGCTCCAGTCCGGCCAGCTCCCCCTCCTCCTCCGCTGCCCAAACGGACGGCACGGCGTCGGCGCCGGCCGCGACCTCTACCTGCCACGGCCGGCGGCCTCGTCGGCGCGCGAGCTCGGCTGGTTCCGCTTCGTCGGCCAGCTGCTCGGGCTCGCGCTGCGGCAAAAGGAGACGCAGCTGCCCCTCAACTTGCCCTCGCTCGTGTGGAAGCAGCTTGTCTCGCAGCCGCTCGACGAGTCGGACTTGCGAGGCACCGACGAGCTCTGCTGGCAGAGCCTGCAAAAGCTGCGCACCATCGACCAGGAGGGTGCCCCCGCCCGCGCTCGAGCCGTGGGCGCTGTCCGCCTCACGGCCGACCCGTGTGAGCAGGAGGGCGTCGACGCCGCCCTCTTCGGCGACGTCATCTTCGAGACCTTCCAGACGCAGCTCTCGGACGGCTCCGAGGCGAGAGCTGACGCCGTGGCGGCCACAACCATGCCCCTCGGGCCCGTCCATGACACGTCCACGTGCGTCGCGCAGGTGGAGCTCTTGCCGGGCGGCCGCCACAGCCGGGTCACCTTTGAGAGCCGGCACGACTACTGCGACGCCGTGCTCGCCGCGCGGCTGCGCGAGTCGCGGCAGCAGTGCGACGCGCTCCTGCAGGGCATCTCCCTCGTCCTGCCGCAGCGGCTCCTCTCGCTCTTCACATGGGAGCAGCTCGAGCGGCTCGCGTGCGGGTCGGCCGACGTGAGCGTGGAGGTGCTGCGCGGCCGCACCAAGTACGGCGTCGGCGTCTCGTCTGTGCAGCGGCGCGCCCGTCCGCCCCACCTTCCCGTGCCCCCGTGCTGCTGCTCCGCCCCCCTCCTTCCGCCCCACCCTCTGCTGCGGGCAGCGCCCTCCTCACACTCGCCGCCGCGCGCAGGCACGTGCGCTACTTTTGGGCCGCGCTGCGCGGCTTCACGCCCGAGCAGCGATCCGCCTTCCTCCGCTTCGTGTGGGGCCGCTCGCGGCTGCCCATCTCTGCGGCGGAGTGGGGGGACACGCGCTTCACGCTGCACACCAAGCAGTCGCCGCGGCCCGACGCGCTCTTCCCCGTGGCGCACACCTGCTTCTTCTCGCTCGAGCTCCCCGCATACACCTCGGCGGCGATCTGCCGCGAGCGCCTCCTGTACGCCATCACCCACTGCCTCGCCATTGACATCGACACGACCACCGGCGCGCGCGAGAACCGGCAACTCACCGCGTGGTCCTCGTCCGAAGACGAGGAGGAGGCGCCGGGCGCACCTCCCAGCCCGACGGCGCGAAGGTGACGACCGAGCCAAGGGGCGCAAGACTGCGTGAATGTGTGGCGGCCCCTTCAACGGACCGATGAGCGATGTACAATGTACCAGCTCCAGGCTCCAGCGCCCGCGCCCTGGCCTCTCGAGCGTGCCCACCTCCGTATGTTTACGTGTGTCTGAGAGTTATCTACGTCTCTTGTGGGGTATCTTCAGAGATACCCATACCGCATCATCGCTTAGCCACACGGAGTGTGGGGTCACAGCAGTCCGACCAGCTCCTCCCTTCTCTTTTTGCACAGCACCTCTCGCCCCGTGTCCCTCTCCATCCGCGTGACTTCGCGCAGGAAGCGGCCTGCGCCGGCACGATAGAGGTGACGGTCGAGCTCCGTGAGCGAGTCGACCTTGCGCGCCGTCCAGCTGGACATCAGGCTCGCGTCGTGGGCGGGCACGCCATGCGTCTCGTGCGCCATCTGTCGGTCCGACAGCTCGGCGCACGAGCACCATCCCGGTAGCTTCCGACGCACCTGGCAGCCCCACAAGCGCAACGTCGCTGGTGAAATGTGTCGCCGTATATCCAAGGCGATTAGACTGACGGGCTGGCTGGAGGACGGCGCACCACATACTCGACCAGGCAGAGCGACTCTGCATAATACTCCGTGAGGCCGACCTGCGTGGTGCAGACGAAAGGCCCACAGCAGGTGAGCGGCCACCGGGTGACCTCGACGCTGTTGTGCCTTCGTGCGGTGAGAGGGATTGTATTGACGTGTGTCCAGCATCTAGGGAGGCTGACGAGGGTGAAGTTGCTGAGGCGGTTGAGCGCAAGCGCGAGTGACGGTGGGCCGATGCCGTCGGCGTGGTGTGGCGTCGTCGCGCGCGGTCCGCAAGCCAGGTAGCGCGTCATCATGTTGGTCGGGTTGTAGCAGTTCCAATCCGCCGCCGCTCCATACCCGTACCTCGACGGATCGAACGCGCCGAGCCAGCTATCGAAGTTGTCCATAATCTCGGGCGATTGCTCGGGGAACGGCCTGCCCTCCACAAAGTGCCCGGCCGTGTTCCTGCGCGCCTCGTGGCTGCACTGCAAAAACTGCGACAGCACGTGCGACCGCGGTGAGCGGAGGTAAGTGACTGTTGGCACGCCGGCGAGACAGGGGTCCTCGTGCCAATCGTGTCCGTGGCACTTCTCGTCCGAAGTCACCCGCAGCTTGAGGCTGCCCAGGTCGCTGTGCAGGGAGATGACCCCCGTCTTTGGTATGTGCATAATGTCGACATCGAGCGAGGGCGAGGAGAGTTCGGACGAGGACAGCGACCATGAAAAGTGGGACGATAAGTTGTGGCTGGACATCGAGGAGTACGGGGATGCCAACTTTGAGGCGCGAAAGGCGGCTGGGTTGGCGGCGCATGCGGCGGCGCTCGCGGACGGCCTCTCTCGGGAGGCGGCTTGCGACGCCGCTCTTGCGGCTGTCGAGGCGCTCCTGCTTAAGCAGGAGCCATGGAGGCTCAAATTCCTCAAGGCGGAGGAAGGCGTGGGAGAGGCGGACGCGAACAACCGCCGCCGGCGGGCGGCGAAGGGGCGCGCCAAGGAGGAGCGCGAGGAGCGCGCGGAGCTCGCTCCCTTTGGGGAGGATTACGGCTCGGGAGGGCTAAATCGTGCAGAGATCGACTTGTTCGATGACGATGGCCCCTGAGGGGGCCGTCTGCTGTGTCCTTTGTAGTGCCAGTCCCTTACCTGCGTGCGAGAGAGCTGGGGTAAATATTCTTTTCCGTCGCTTAGGCGGCTCCCGTGGTGTACCTGTGTTAGTGCCAGTGCGCGCCAGTCCCGTGCCCAGAAAAGAAAGAAAGAAAACAGACAACCCAAGGGAGGGATGGGAGGACGGCACGCCGCCACCACACAGGGATTTTAAGGAGAGGAGTGTGATGCGCTAGCCGTCGCCCACCCTAGGGAGTCTGCCTCTTCCTATCTCTTTTCGCAGTCTCTCGCCGATTCTCGCTGCAACCTTCATGCCACCTCGCGGCCGTCCCACTCTCGTCGTTCTCTCCCTTGTCACTTCCTCCTCTGTCGCGTCATTCTCTTCTGCCTCGTCCTGCGCCGCCGCCGCCTGCCGTTCCCTTGTTCTCTCGGCTTCTTTCGCCTTTCGGCGCAGCTCCGCCCTCCTTGCTGCATATCCTGGCCCCTCGAGTCTATCGAGCTCCCCTCGCGCAAGGACCACATTTCTGACTCCCACTCCGATCATTTGCCTGCAGGTCATGTTGTTGCTCAGGTCCACTCTCTCTTCGAACACTCGTGCCTCTACGGATGATGCCGGCGCTGGGGTCCCCTTCGGATGCATCGTGACATCTGACAACTGAATTTCCACTGGTTCGTCCTCCTCGGAGTCATCTTCCCCGTCCTCCTTCCGTTCGGCTCTTCGCTCGGTACGTTCGGTGTGGCTCACCCTCCATGCCGTGAACAGGCGCTTTATCCACCCTATATTCTTCTCTCGTTCCTCTGCCCGTGCCTTGGTCTTGTCGTTGTTTCGCACCCATGTCTGTATGGCAATCGAGGCTGCCTTCCCCACTACCTGTAGTTCACTCGTCACCTCTCCCGCGAGCTCCCTTCTCTTTCTTTCGGGTATGGAGTCCGTGAGTGCGGGTAGCGTGCAGGCAATCACGGGCGCTATTTTGTCGTACTCCTCTTCGGCGAGCGCTCCAAATCTAGACCCTTTCGCCTTTAAGGAGGCTGCCCTCGCTCGTCTCAGGAATGTGGCGGTGTCTTTTGAGTCCGGCGCCTCCCGTTCAACTCTTGCTGTCGCCCTCGCTGTGTGTTTGTCGAGCTTCCGCATGAAGTGACGCGCCTCTTCCTTATTTCCAGCGCAGCTGCCGCTCAGTATGTGCGCCAACGACGCCTGTGGTGTGTTGTGCGAGGGATGCACGAAAAATTCTTTTCCTAATTTGCGCGTACTTACTTAGACGATACCTACGTCGCGGACGCGCCGAGGGCGGCTCTCGAGACGATGCTCGAGGGCGACGACCTTGCTCAACTCTGGAGTGGCGTCGAGAGCAACAAGTCCAAGCGGTGCATGTGGGCCCCCGACCCGCGCTCGCTCGACGCGGTGCGCGACCGCACGGATGTCAAGGGCACGCCGGACTCCGCAGACGGCGTCCTTCGCGGTATTCGCGTGCTCGGGGCGTACCTCGGGGACAAGGCGTGGTGCCGTGACAAACTCGTCAAGCGCGTCCGCAAGGCGCTGGAGCCGCTCTCGGGCATCATGGCGCTGCGCGACACCAAAACGATCCACACCGCGCAGCAGCTCGCCCAGGTGCTCCTCCGCTTCTGCAGCAACACCACGCTCACCTTCTTCCTTCGCACTATGCCGCCGTCGGTAACCCAGGACGCCGCGCGCGAGCACGACCGCCTGATGGAGGAGGCGCTCTACACCCTCGTGGGTGGCGCGCGGGTCGGACGCAACAGCCCACGGTGGCGGGTCGCTGTTCAGCAGGCCCGACTTCCGGTCAGGATGGGCGGTATGGGCCTGACCAGTGCCATGGACATCCGTGAGGCAGCGTGGGTCGGCACGTGGGCCCTCGTCACGCGGCCGATACGCGAGCTGCACGAGCCATTCCGCGACCTCGATGTGGCCCTCGCGCCGGGAGAGCGCTTCGACGAGCTTCGGGAGGCTCACAAACGCCTCCGCGCCGTTCGCGACGCGGTCGGCAAGACGTGGCGCGAGTGGGACGGGCGCACGCTATACCAAGACGTCGTCGGGCCCTTCCAGGAGACCAAGGCGGTGCCACGGCGCCGCTACCACCCGCCCAAACTTACGCCGGCGGCGGAGCTGCTGGATCTTTCGGAGTTCTCGTCTACCAGCGAGTTCTTACAGCAGGCGCAGCGGCGGTACACCGTCGGCGTACACCATCGCAACTGGCTCGCCCTCGCCGACGCCTTCGTCAGCGAGGCATCCCGGCAGGGCGGCCGCTACAAGACTGGCAGGTGCAAGAACCACAAGTGCTGGCGCGAGGCGATTCGGTTCGTCGCAGTCAGCCAGGAGGGGGCTGGCGCCTTCCTGAATGCGATCCCCATGCGGGATGATATGAAGATGGAGACGTGGGCGATGCGCATTACAGTTCAGCGCCGCCTCGGCCTCCCGCTCGATGTTGCCTGCCAGGCGGTGGAGGCGGGCAAGAAGGCGCCAAACGGCAAGCCGCACGAAGAACTCGGCGATGCCGCAATGGTCAACCCGCGTGCGAAGCACGCGACACGACACAAATACCTGCTCAAACGACTCGTCAAGACCCTTCGCTCGGCGTGGGGCATGCTCATCGAGATGGAGCCGACTGCACACCTCAGTTACAGTAACCCAAAACAACCTGACGTGGCGGCGGCGAACATCGGCAAAGGGCATGTGCGCCTCGTTGGTCCGAGAGCGATTCTAAGATCAGGTCTCCCACCTCCCCGCTGGAAACGAACATCTAAGTTTCAAATCTCGAATAAATCTCGAAGCACACTTGAATGCTCACTTGGCAGGTAACATATGCGCCACGCGCCTCAACCGCTCCTCTGGTCGCCGCCGGCCTCCGCGGGGGCGGCGATGTCCCAGCGCCACCCATCGGCCAGCCCTCAGATCGATCGATCGGCGCTCAAAGTCGGCTTCAGATCCGAGAACGCTGCTGGCGCCGCCGCCGATCCCAGCGGCGACGCCAGCAGCATCCTCTGCTCTCCAATGCGCCGAGAAGCGACACGGGGGTGCTCGGCCCGCCATGGACGACGAAGGCTCCGCCGGGCGCGCGTCGGCCGGTCCGGTGGCACCCTCTGCGCGCGGCACCTGCCGGCGCCCCGACGACAGCCGTCGCGCCACCGCTGATGGAGGGGCGGTCGGCGCCGCTGCCGCCGCGCCGCCGGTGGGAGGGGCACTGGTGGTGGCCTGGGCGGCCCTCCGCCGCCGCTCGGGGCGCCCGGGCAGCGGTGGCAGCCTGCCGCCGCACCACTTCGAAATGCCCGCTGACCACTTCGAAATGCCCGCTCCGGCGGCCCGCGCGCTCGCTATTCTTTTTTCTACTAAGCAAAATTCGAGCCAATTGAGGAAACTGAAGCGGGCAGGCTGGAAGCACTGAGGGACGGCCGATGTTCGCCCAGTGGTAGACCTGATCTTAGAATCGCTCGCGACTTGAAACTGACGAGCTCGCTTGCGTGCAAGGGTGGCGATCGGCTCGGCTGGAAGGGGGCTTTTGTCGCCTTCGGCAACACCGAGCGGG